CAACCGGCCGCTTGCTCCCCCGCGGCGGTCCAGCTGAGCGGCACAGAACTCAGCTGAATGCCATGGTGGGAGGCGAAGGATGGCGGGGCGGTGACGTACACGTCCAGGGGGTGGGGCCTGGATGAGCGTGCTTCTCCGACGGAGACAGAGGAGAGTGGAGAGAGAGTGAGAGGCAAGAGGGAGAGAAGAGAAAGAGAGAGATGGAGCGGAGAGAGAGTGAGAGGCAGGAGGAGGAAGAGAAGAGAAGGGAGAGTGAGAGGCAGGAGGGGGAGAAGAGAAAGAGAGAGAAGGAGCGGAGAGAGAGTGAGAGGCAGGAGGAGGAAGAGAAGAGAAAGGGAGAGTGAGAGGCAGGAGAGGGAGAAGAGAAAGAAAGAGACTGAGAGAGAGGCAGGATGCAGAGGAGAGCTGAGAGAAGGGGGGGAGGCAGTAGGAGGAGAGAGAGAGAGACGGAGCGAGAGAGCTCAGGAGAGAAGACCTGAAAATCCCATCTTATGATGGGCTAATTGACTAGTTCTGTAAGAATATGCTTATGGGCTTGAACCATGACAATCAAAGATCTTGTCTACACTAGGTCTTTTTAAAGTTTCCATTAATTCAGCACTATCAAATATGGAAGTTGTAATGCAGACAAGGTGCCCCAGCATTTGCCAGCATTTTGTACTACAATGTCACCTAAAGCTGCCCTGAAAAGAGTTAGAAAGTATTGTGGTTTGTATACCAGCACCTTGTCTATCCTCCCACTCCCATGTTGCTCTCAATAGCGCTGCATGACGGAAAATCTTAGGGAAAAATCTGTTGTAGACAGAGCCAAAGATTTTAAGTGGGAATATTTCTGCATTTTAAAAAATAGGCTATTTTAATGTTCAGAGTTAAATTGGTTTGGGACACTTTTTTGCCATTACTGAAAGTTTAAAACAATTATCTTAAAAAAAAGTGATTTCAGATCTGTAAAATTGGTTAATGTACACAAGCCTCTTACCTAGAATCACAAAATACTAGATCTGGAAAGGACCTTGAGAGATCATCAAGTCCAGTCCCCTGCCCTCATGGCAGGACCAAGCACTGTCTATAATATCATTCCTGGTAGATGTCTGTCTAACCTGCTCTTAAATATCTCCAGTGATGGAGATTCTACACCCTTTCTAGGCATATTGTTCCAGTGTTTAACCACCCTGATAGTTAGGAACTTTTTCCTAATGTCCAACCTTGCTGCAGTTTAAGCCCATTGCTTCTTGTTCTATCATCAGAGGCCAAGGAGAACAATTTTCCCCCTTCCTCCCTGTGACACCCTTTTAGATACTGCTATCATGTCCCCTCTACAGGGCCGGCTTTAGGAAGTGCGGGGCCCAATTTGAACAATTTCAACGGGGCCCAACAGCAATTTTGGTTGAGAGAAAAAAAAAAAACACAGCACAAAAAAATCCCCCGCCAACACACATACACCCTCCCGCAGCACAGGAAAACCCTGCACTAAACTCACACCTCCTGTGGTGCAGGCAGCCAACGCACTCCTCCTCCGGGGCCAGCAGATTTGTATAATTTTTGGTGGTGCCCCATTAGCCACACTCCCTGACCCCCATTAACCATGCCCCAAACCCCATTAGCCACACCCCTTTGCCCCCATTAACCAGGCCTCTGGAAGTAACACGCTCAGGGCATGACCAGAAGTAAAAAGTGTCATGTCACCCCTCTCGAAGGACGTTTCCCACCATCCTCCTACCAACAGGAATTAGTTTGGCCCCCACCAAGCCCCCCTCATGCAACTATCCTGCAATTGCATTAACCCAATGTGTGTGACATTAACTCGGGGGCAGAGAGGCTGGGGGAAGTGTTCCCTCTAAGGCTATGTCTACACTCACGGCTTCTTACGCAAGTACAGCCGTTCTTGTGCAAGATCCCACAGAGCAGCCACACTGCCCGCCTGCTCTTGCACAAGGAAATTTACAGTACGGTGTGGTA